GAGAGAGAGAGAGAGAGAGAGAGAGAGAGAGTTCGTCTGTATCCGTGTGTGCCCGAACCCGTGTGAGAAAAAGAGACAGACGCAGAAGCCATAGAGGAATGCATGGTGACATGTCAATGCAAACGCCAGGTGTTCTTTAGACTTAGCACACCTTGATATCTCTCTTCGCGGAGTGGACGCACGTAACTCCACCCTCCACACGCCAATCATAACTTATCGAACATTGGTCGGGGGGTTTATGTTCTAGCACCCAGCCAAACCAATCAATCAAGTTCTGATCTGTGCTGATCGAAGTATCGATCAGTTGCGCTGTGGTGCTTACCGACCCAAACCTGGTCTGAACAAGAAGTGGGTCTGAATACTTTTCTGAAAGAAAGCTCGATCTCCATTCACGAGGTGACTGAGTGCCTTCGGCTGTGTGTGTTGTATCTCTCTATTCACAAGTTGACAGTTTTTAGAGCTGTGTGTGTGTGTGTGTGTGTGTGTGTGTGTGTGTGTGTGTGTGTGTAGCTGTGTGTTTAGTAGTATCTATCGACAAGCTGGCAGTGCCTTAAGCTATGTGTGTAGTTATAGTAGATTCTATATTTATCCACGAGTGTGTAAAATGTGTATTTACAAGCTGACAGTGCCTAAAGATATGTGAGTATTAATAGTATAATGTTATTAATGTTATCCGTCCCCGTGTGCGTAGAATCTGTATTCACTAGCTGACAGTGAAAGTGAAGGTCATACCTGTAGGCCTATACATGCAGTAATATTAGTACATGCCAATGTTATCTCTATTCGCAAGCTGACAGCGTCGGAAGCTATGTATTGTTGTATATCTATCCACGTGTGAGTAACAGGCGAGTGTTCTGGTGTGGTTTGCTTCTTTTTTCATATTTGAAAACATCTCTAATACTGTTCTTTCTTCACCCCACCCCCGCCCCATCCCGCTTTCCTGCCTGGGTTTTGTAAAACGGAGTGATTATTCTCACCCGGAGTGAGGATAAACTAGATATTATTCTCACCCGGGGTGAGGATAAACTGGATATTATTCTCACCCGGGGTGACAATAAAATTGATACTATTCTCAACGGGGTGAGAATAACGACAGCCTACTATTCTCATCCGTTGGGGTTTTTTTTTCGTTTCCGCACTTTTTATTACGTTTCGGGCATCATAGGCTAGGGAAAACATTTTCTTTTGAGCACTTGGCGTCACCTTTTGTTGGTACTCATTGGTTCAGTAATGGAAACGTCTACTCTTGAATGGTTTAACCAATCAAAATTAAGAGAAAAAAAATAAGCCTAGAGTCAAGGCACTATACTTGCCTTAAAATAACTGTGGGTTCTGTTAGGGATAACATGTTTTTTTTGGTGCTGTCCATGTGTAAACAAATGCCAATTTTAACATTACAATGACAAACTAAATAATATTACTAGTATAAACTAATATTATTTCATTAAACAGCTTTCAGTTAAGGCTATTATTTTTTTATAAACATACACTCTGGTATGCTAATTCCTTTCCGAATTCAGAATATACATTTGTCTAGGGTTTTGGTGAAGATATACGTGCATACTCTCAAGATAAAAAAACAACAAAACAATAACAATCCCCGCGGGAGCCTAGAAAAATCGGCCAGCGCTCTCACGTACGGTCACTCTAACAATTCACAAATTATTTTATATCATCCTATTAGCCTACATGTAAGCCTACCAGTTCTCAACACCCAGGTAGACCTAAGAATAAAAATCCATTGCATTCTCAGACCGGGTGAGAATAAAATGGATATTATTCTCACCCCGGGTGAAAATAATATTATATTTTTATTTTCACCCCGGGTGAGAATGACGGCAGCCTTTGTTAAAAGAGTGGTCACAGCAAACATTCAAAGGTAAATCCGCAATGCAACCTCTTGTCGCTTTTTTGTTGTTGTTCTGTTTTGTTTGTTGTTGTTGTTGTTGTTGTTTGTTTTTTTGTTCCAGTAGATCGCATTACTTCTACACTGTAGCTGTGTAAAAGATCGTATAAAACTAAAATGGGCCTACATCTTTTCTTCAGTCGTTAGTTTAGTGCTGCAAAAGAGTCTCTTTGAAAAAAATTTTTTTTGATTGTTTTGATCTGTCTGTCTGTCTGTCCGTCTGTTTGTCTGTTT